TCTTGGTGCTGACTTGCAGAGTGATTGATATTTCATCTATTCCTTTACTAGTGTCCTTTGGACCTATGGTTCCCTTGGAACGCACCTTCACTAGTCCCTTTGGACCCGTGCTTCCCTTAGAACGCACCTCCATTAGCCCCTTTAGACCCGTGGTTCCGTTAGAACGCGTCTTTATTAGACCTTTTGGACCCATGGTTTTGTTGTAACGCGTCTTTTCTAGTCCATTTGGACCCATGGTTCCGTTGGAACATACTTTTTTCTAGTCCTTTTGGACCCATGGTTCTATTGGAACACGTCTTTATTAGTCCCTTTGGACCTATGGTTCTGTTGGAACGCATCTTTACTAGTCCCTTTGGACCTATGGTTCCGTTGGAACGCGTCTTTACTAGTCCATTTGGACCCATTAAACAATTGACAATGTTAGGCAATATGGTTGACATTGATGGTTCCAAACCCAACGAAAGATGAACTTTTATGCATGCCCTTCCACCTTAGGCAATTGACATTGATGGTTCCAAACCCAACGAAGAAGGAAGCCGTCACCAAACTTTGGGAAGATAAAAAATCAGTGGAAGAAGCTAACGTCATCTCTAATCGTGATCTTAAAGTAGTGAAGCAATTAGAAGAGATATTACGACAAAAACGTGATGAAATCATAGCGGAATTTTAATGTTGATCATCATCCTTTTTTTTTTTTTTTTTTTTTTTTTTTTTTTGAAGCAATCCCAAAAGTTGTAACTTTGAATCCCAACAATATAAATGATTTATTATCTCCCCTATTCTTTTAACAGAGATGTTGTCATTGTTTATCTGTTTAACTGTTCACAGTTTATACTTTTGCGGGCCAGGAGTTGAACACACATTTTTTTTTTTTTTTTTTTTGATGGATAACTGAACTTGGAACAAACCTCCAAGCTGTCTACGTACCCATCACAAATTTTAGACATCTACAAACAACACTTTCATGGCATGCTTGTTGTTCTTCGTCTTCAGAGATGTGGCGTGCTTGTTATTCTTAATTCGTTTTTAGAAATTTCAAGTGTTAAAAACGACCCTAGTGTGACGTACTTGTTGTTCTTCGTCTTTAGAATTTTGGATGTTGGGGTTTTTTTAAGGAAGAACAGTACTTTGAGATTTTAATGTGTTAAAGATTCGGCAAAGCTTTAGCAATCTTTTAGTGTCTCCGTGTGTGTCTTGAATGTGTATGATGATCTTGTATTTATAGGCTAAAGAGGGGTATTTTCATTTTTTTTTTTTTTCCTAATTATGCTTAATTTTCATAAATTAGAGATTTGTGTTCTTTTATATGACAATCATTTTAAATTTGAATTGATTACACTTCATTTAAAGATCAAATTTCCACTAGCCTCTACGTGACCTTATTCAAGATTTTCAATTGAAGAGGCATTATAATGAGGCCAGAAAGCCAATCTCTTCCCATTAAAGTGCTAAGGGTGACTTGAAGGAGAATAGTGTCTCACTAATTGCCTGTGGCTTGATGGAATCCTTGACAATGGACTTATTATTTGTTTTGTCCAACTGTGGGCCCACATTCATAAAATTTAATTGATGAAGAGTATTTGACTTCTTAACTGTCATTTGAAGTGCCTGCGCATGTTTTATAGAAGATTGAATTGCTTGATCGCATAAGTTTGGTCATTTATTGATTTATTCTCAAATTGTGTAAATTACAACGACATTATGTGAGATTGAAATAATTATAAAAAAATATAATTGTGTATATAATTTAGATGCACGTGGTGATGAAATAATTATTAAAATATATAAAAATAAAAATAAAAAATAATGTCATATATTAAAATTTTTACACAGTTTGGAAATAAATCAATAAATGACCGAACTTATATGATCAAGCAATTCATTCATCTCTCAACTAAATTTTAGGGTTAATTACAATGACACCTCCTAAAGTTTGAGGTATTGACAGATATATATAAGTTAGGCCTTTTTTGAACAATAAGACCCTTTTTGTAATCCAAACAAGGCCTTATTGATTTCGAAAAGATGATATTACCCCTGAATATTTAAATCACTTTTATCCTAAAATATCAGGCATGACAAAATGTCTAATATGCCCCTCAATTAATAGCAGCCTACCCCACCTACCCCTTTATTTCACATTTGTCTCTCTGAAAGAAAAACAAAGCTTTTTTCCTTTCATTTCTCTATCTCGATCTCTCAAACTTTTTATTTGCTGCAAAAATGGAACCTTTATTTCTACAAACATGAACCACCATTCGAAGCCCTAGTATAAATCGTGCATATTTTCCTCTTCCTCTCTTTATCAAATTTCTGGAATGGTAAAGTTGGTTGCTTGGTGTGATCAACCGTTCGGATTCTTGGTGGTTTGCGTTGTGTTGTTCATTTTTCTGTTCTTCACTTTCTCTGTAAGTGATCTAATCTTTCCTCTGCTGCATATATGATGACTTAGTGCTTCTTTGTTTGTAACTTTAGATATTGAGGGTTTTCTGATGGGGGTTTGTGATGGGGTTTTTCTGATGGTTTTTTTTTTTTTTTTTTTTTTTTTTTTTTTTCATGAACTCTAAAGTTGGTTGGTTGGTGTAATCAACCGGTCAGATTCTTGGGGGTTTGTGTTGTGATTGAGGTTTCTGATGGGAGTTTTTATAAATTTGTTGTTATTTCATGAAATTAGTTGCATATATGGTTTTTTTATAAGTTTTTTTTTTAATTATTATCAATTTATTGTTTTTTTAAAAAAAATTAGTTCCATTTAGGGTTTTTGATTGAGAGTTTTATGTTCAATTTGTTGTTAATTTATGTTTGAGGGTTTTATTATGAAATCGTTGTTATTTTTGGGAGTTAAGTAATATTTATGTTTCTGTAAATGCCACATATGACACATAGAACACCAGTTGGGTTGTTTTTTTGTTCATTGGGTGAGACACTAGAAAACTGGTTTTTGTTTGCACAATTGGTTTATTGCACATGCATTTGTTGCTAATTGCACAACATAGTTGCTAACTGCCCATCATATTTGGTTAATTTATGGTGTCAAATGATGGCTATGCAATGACTTATACAAATTTTTGGTGTCAAATGACGGTTATGTAATAACTTGTACAAGTTTGTAATGACTGTAATGTTATTTTTATTCAAGGCTACTGAAGTACTTGCAAATTTCCTTTTTTTTTAGGTGTAAAGCTTCTGTTGGCTACAATGATATAAAGGACAATTGAAGTACTTACCAATTTTTTTTTATTGTTGCAAAGCTTCAATTCCATTGTAATTGAAAAGCTTCAATTTTTGTTTGGTGCAAAACTTCAGTTCCATTGTAAAAAAAATAAATAAATAAATAAATAAATTGGTGCAAAGCTTTGTACTTAAAATGACACAAAGCTTCCACTTGCCATTTTCTGTATTATTTCTCCTCTATTTCACTAGTTGTATTTTGACATATATATATCGCAAGTTCCGGTACAAGTTCCATTAATGTTAAATGTTGGTTATATATAGCAAGTTCCATTGTATTTAACCCTGTCAATATGGTAGTTATGCCTGTCAATATGGTTAGAATTTTTGGCACCAAACTAGCGGTTTTTGGTAGTTATGTAATTTTTTTCCCATCAAATGGTAATGAGGGTAGTTTGGTCCAGTTAATTCAATTGTAAAGTAATAACGGTCCACAAACAAAGACAAATTGGTCAATTTTTCATGTGTCGGGCATACCAGATTGTGTCAGGGGATGTTTTGTTAACTTTGTCAAATTTCAAGGGTCTTATTGTTCAAAAAAGGTCTAACTTATATATGCCTATCAATACCCCAAACCTCAGAAGATGTCATTGTAATTAACCCTAAAATTTAGTTGAGAGATGAATGAATTGCTTGATGATATAAGTTTGGTCATTTATTAATTTATTCCCAAATTGTGTAAAATTTTTAATATATGACATTATTTTTTATTTTTATTATTTTTAATAATTATTTCATCACGTGCATCTTAATTATATTTGAAAGTTCAACCTTTGCCTTTCAAATGAGATGGGCTAGGGAAAGTGCTGATTCATCACTAGTCCATGCAATTAAAAGTAGCATTTTTTCTATCTGAAAACAATGTTATTAATAAAAGTTTTTTCAGACTTATAGCCCTATAACTGTAGAGGCCCAATTCATCTAATTCTTGTTTGTTCTATGAAACCATTGGTAGCTTTCAGAGCCTTATACTTCAGGAATTGCTCTAGTGGTGTGCTGTTGGAGTCTGCTAGTCTTAGTACCTCATTTATGTGACAATTGTAGTCAAATTTGTCACATTGGAATTGTTATCTCTATGATAATAGATGAAAATTTAAAATTTCTGGTCTTTTTGGATTGTAGGCTGCTAACTATTATATATATATGGCAAGAAACACACCTTTACTCACACACTTTTTTGCCTACACTTTGGATTGGGCTAGATGTCCGTTGGTAACTTTTAACATCGTTAGACGTGACTATAATGTTGTTTACTCCTTCCTACCATAGTAGTTACTATTTATTTTTGTTATTAGAATTATTTAAGGAGATATGCAATTAATGCATTATCTCCTTTTAAAATTGTCAAGTCGTTCATTTATGTTTAAATATGTGTATTATAAGGTTAGAAGAATTTTAAAAACTTAAAAGGACAATGATGCAAAGATGCATTTGTATTGGTTTGAGACTATCTATATAAGATATTGGGAGTATTTTTTAATACTACTTACCATCTATATATAATATTTTAATATAAAATTTCATAACCAGATACTTAATGAGGCATTAGCGTCAGATGACTTACTTAGAGCAACTCCAATGCTCTCTTATTTGAGCTTTCAAATTCAAAATATGAGAGGTGGCAAAAAGGTAGGCTCTCCAATGCACTCTCATTTGGCCTCTCAAAATTTGAGATTCTCAAATTCACTCTCAAATCTAGCAGCTGCCAATTTTTTTGGCAGATCTCTTATTTCACTATACGATTCATTGTCCTTTTGTCTCTCCCCCTTTTCATCCTATCCGTCTCGAGAAAGCCCTAATCTAACCCCACCACCATCATCACTGAATTCTAATCCATCCATCCCTGTTATCTGAACCTTACAACAATTGTTTGAGGTCTTATAATTAAAACATCTATATTCATAAATTTCCCAAATAATTTCCAAGTTAATAAGCAACAAAAAATTTCACAAATAATTCCCAAGTTAATAAGCAACAAAAAAATGCAGGAAGTCCTTTGCAAATATAGAATCTGAACTCATCACCAGCCCATCCCCGCCGGATCCATCATAGCTGCTGTTCTCGGTTATCGCTTCATCCCGCCAAGCACCGCCTCAAGCGACTGCCGTCCCAAGCTCTCCGTTGTCTCAAGAACAATTCCTTGCTTGTCGAAGCTTTCTGTCGTCGTTGGAGTTGTAGTTTGCAGTTGCACAGAGAGAGAGAGAGGGCAAGTTCTCGGAGTTGAGAAGGAGAATAGAGATGGAGGTGATTGGGGAGGCTGAAATGATTTGCCCTAAAAATATATATATTTTTAATAATAATATAATCAAATATATATAATATACATATATATATATATATATATATATATAAATTTCCGAAAAAGAAAAAAATTATATAAAAAAATTAATTCACAAATAGTGGTAAAAAAATTATTATTATTATTATTTTTTGGCTCCTTTTTTGACCAGATATTTTAAATTTTTGCTTCTTTTTAATTAGGTTTAATTTTAGTTTTCTTCTACTGTATACAACTTGACTTGAAATTTGCCTAATATTAATATTACTGATAAAAATATAAATGGTGGGAATGGTAGTTGAAAAAGAATGACGGTTTGTGTCAAAAAATAGTATTTTGCATGAAATGCACCATTAGAGCAGAATTGCTAAAATGTAGCATTTTGACACTGTAGCACCTGTCAAAATATAGATTTGGCAAGCGAATTTAGCTTCTCGCATTGGAGATGCTCTTATAAGGGGAACCAATCCCAGAAATAAAGAAGTGATTAGGATAGCACCCCTAATAATTGATATCAGAGTCAAATCTAGTCTTTATTTGATCCAGGTTTACACCAAGCGCTTCAGCAAAACTTGAATTGACCCAATTTTAGCTTATGCCAACCTTGAATAATATTCAAGAGTAAACAACCCAATTTTGTAAATAATAAGTCAAAGCTCCAAACAGGCCCAAACTCTCTTGGATATACTCAAGAAGCCCAAAGTAACTAACTATAGGCCTAAACCCATTAAACTATTTGGATAACAAAATATGTAGCAATTCAGAAAAATTGGAAGCCCATTGAACAACAACCAAAAATTTTTTACAGTGTCAATAACATCTCCCTTTAAAAAAATTTATATATTTTTATGTTCTTGTTTTCCAGAGTATTTGTTTTACAAATTTAGAATGGATAGCACATATAAATATCAAATACATATTCCGCATTTACTCAAAACACTAAATGTTAAAGAAACTATATTCAATTGATTAACATAAATATTTTGCATGTAGTAATAAAAACTTAAATGATGTAACTCTCAAAATTTGTTACTTTGAAGTCTTAGGTTTATGTACGAGGGTAAAGTGTAAAAAAACTCCTAAACTACTATCCTTTCGCAAGTAACTCCCTAAATTATTGATTTATTACAATTAAGGACAAATTCATTCCAAAATACTATTTTATCTTTTCTCATTAAATTTTTCATTTCTTATTAAATATTTTTATTATCTTCTCTTATCTAAAAATTAATTATATCATTTACCTTAATTTTATTATTAATATCAATTTATAATAAATTAGAAAAAATAATTAAATTTGTAACACCATTTTCTAAAATTATTTGTGACGACCCGAACCCGAGGGTTCGAATCGCTAACCGAGTTCTTACCCAAACCCGAGGTTGTTTAAGGGCACTATGGTAAGTTCCAAGGTCGATACATAATGTACGTGCTATCCCAAGACTTGTTGTAGAAAATAAATGAAATCACAAATATAAAAGATAAAAAAACAGTCCAATAACCCATTCAAACCTATGGAGGAACGTCGTCCGCTACTTCCTTCCCGTGACCTAAAAAATGTTAAAATGATGGGGTGAGCATAAAGCTCAATAGAAGGCATCTAAAACACACCTCTTACGACCCTGTGAACCCATATAATGAATAGGATACGAGAGAACGGGATCATATCTCGAGGAGGATACGAGAGAACGGGATCATATCTCGGGGAAAACAAGTAAAGTAATGATAATAATCAAGAAACACATACGCAAGTATACAATGTATGCCACCAAATATACAATGTATGCCAATACAATGCCATGCCATGCAATGTCGATCCCCATTTTCGAAACAATACCGTTTTAACTTCTAAACTGTTAGTGCGATCCGACCCAATGTACCTCTAAGGCTTCACGAAAGGAGGGTTGGCTAGCTTTCTCCGACCACATGGCACCTCCATGGCGTCGTCTGGGCCTAGGTGGCTCAACCACACTAGAGTCTCTCTCTAGCTCCCCTTTAGACCACACTAACACTATGAACCACTAGGCGCCTCCTAGGCGTTCGGGTCACTTTTCAAAAACTATTTTCCAAAACAATTTCATTTGTTTTTTTTTTTTTTAAATAAACTTTTCCCTTTACTTTCCGAATGACAATACATGAATTATGCAATTTTTTCAATGCCATGACAATATAGAAATTTCATACATATCATTCACATCATTTAAGCATGTTTAAAACATGAATTTTCACACAATAATATCACATTCTCATATTTATAAATCATGGCATTTTACATACTTTCAATTTACAAATTCAACTATTAAATTCTACACATCCAATCAACGTCATATTCTAAACATTTATTTCTACAACTAATAATCTCAAATTTACATAGCAATTGGCAAATATTTTTCATACAACTTGTTATTATTGAGCATGCTTTTCATCACAACAAATTAATTAAGTTCATAGACTCAATTAACACACCACATCATTTATCATCATAAACATAACTAAATACAATCACCATATTCAAAATAACTAAAACTAAGCATGCTTATAACCAACTCTAGAAAGGAAAATTCACAAAAAATCAAAGAAATTGTGAATTAGAATACCCCTACCTCCAAAGATGCATAAACCCCACAAATGGGTTCAAAATTTTGAAATCCCTTGAGTTGGCCAAACAAGGAATTGTTTACACCCACGCGTAGATCTCATTGTGCTCTCCGATTTGTCGCAAACGACACTAACAAACTCCCAACAATTGAAGAGAAATTAAGCTTGTAAATGATGGTAAAAGAAAAGAAAAAATGAACTGAGAAGGGAGAGAGAGAGAGAGAGAACTTAATTGAGAAGGGAGAAAATGAGAGTCTGATATGTGAATTAAGTCATTTGTAATGACTTTGGTACAGGTGGGTCCCACTGCTAGAAAAATATCTCCTTTATCACTTCACTCTCATAGCACACAACCACAAAATACATCAGACCAAAAACAAACAAGGCCACGCGAAGAAAGCCAAACAAAAACCCATTTCAGCTGGCAGTACCACTAGCATACAATATATATATATATATATATATATATATATATATAATAAAACTAAATCAAACCCAAATATCTCTGTGGGTCCCGCACTATACCCACTCAATCTTTCTTTCTCCTCCTCACTTCAACTGGTGCATCTCCCTTTTCTCTAATCTGATCACTTTATTCTTCTTATCCCTATATTTCATCCATTTTAATAATCATCACTCACACCATAAAGCAAAACCACGTGGGACCAGCAAATAAAAAAAATTTCAATCTCTCTAATCTCATTTCGGCTGCTACCCAAATTGTGCCATCAGATTACATACATATATATATATATATATATATATATATATATATAATGTAACAATCCAAATTAACCCAATAAATATCTCTTTAGTGGGTAACTCTCTAATCATAATTAAATAATCATGACAATTAAAAATGATAAAACAAATTAAAATCCTAAAAATTCGGGTTGTCACATTCTCCACCACTAAAAAAGAATTTCGTCCCGATATTCAGATCCAACAGTTTCCTCATACCCAAAAACATCCAATCCCAATTTATCCCTTAAATGATACACAAAACCCCAGACAAGGAATCCCATCCGTCGCACCATCAAGCTTAAACTCAAATCTACATATCCCTATTAGACCAAGCACTCGCTATCTACCACATAACTACACCATCGCATAACCGCACCAGCGACTAGCAACCGCACTATACGACAATCATCATACTAAACAACAACAAGATGGTTAAACAACAAATCTCCCAATGACTACATAATCATGAGTCATCAGAACAATAAAATGTACTGTCCTGTACCTATGACCTAAATCCTCATAATGAGATCTTTAAAAGTCAATGGTTTTACCACAACCCTTTATCGGACACTTGGTCCTACCTAACACACTTCATCACCCAAGACAAGCCACCCAAATCCACATTGTCACACTAACACAACGTGCAAAATCATGCTCTCACTGTTACTAACAAATCGAAACAATCATTGACCTTTGACTCGACATTGTCTTAAAGAGGGACTGATTCAAGAGAAATGGTTGGTCAGGCCATTCTCATCATTGATCCGGTTTCAACACAGACGTCATTCCTGTCCTCAGGTACAAACCTCAAATACAATGTCACAAAGTCCACAATACAACCATGGAATCCACTCACTATCAATCCATACTCTACGTAACCTTAACAACTATACAGTCATAAACCTGCTCTAAAATCCCAACCATGCCCTGAACACACAACCCATAATAAATGAAAAGCAACACAACACCAAATACCATAATCATTGACCAACATAAAACTTCCCGATCTCCTCATAACACCCATACTAGGTAGACAACTCCATAACATCATTCAATTCAATTTTAACCTTGTCAAAACACATAATTCGACTATCTCATGCCTGAGATCTCAAAATCAAAGTCAATCTTTCCAATTATTCCTCAACGGAATCCTAACATTCACTTTTTTAATCACGTAGTTCTAAGGTGACATCGACACTTATCCTCAAGACACTGCTCGAATCAAATGTCTATAAAAACAACCGAGTACATGACTCACATTACATCACATCACCTAATCATCCTCGAATGTACAATTCATGACACATCCCCTAGCCCTCACCGCTAGTACCAGGCACCAGAAACACACAATTCCTATTCGGTAACTCGTGCCTCATACGCCACCAGTCAGAACCACTCTCAGAATAAGCAAAACAAAACCAAAGGCTCCATCTCCCTCCATGGGAGTGAGTCAACCCATTCAACCAAACCTTTACCGGTGAACTCTAACAGCATAACAAATCAAACACGGGTCCGCCCACCTGCAAACGTGCACAACTCCTAAATGGAGAACAAGACTTCCAACCAACGACGTCCTTCTCAGGACTAAAACAAACGGAAAGGGTAACGAACCCCGCTCTCATAAGAGATTGACGACTCGGACCTGATTCCACCCGACACCCTATCACACGCTACTCATCAATCGTCCAACCGTGGACACCTAATCTTACCTGAGAAGAACTGAACTTCCTACACACAAGGAGAAGAACTAGCTGGATACCTGTACAGAACTATGAACTCAATTCTAGGCGATCTTGCCACTAACGGACCGTCATACACTATCAACCCCGGAACCTCGCATACGTTACCCTGCAACACCCATGCTAGCCAAAACCAATCAGATCTATACCACCCATTCATTGAGTACCAGGATACAGCTCACAACACGATCATCAGATGAGAGCACCAATGCTTACAACATGCTAACACTAGAAACAATCACTGCCCTTCAGATGCCGCGTCACATTCCAACTGGAACTCGTCACTCCTAAATGACAACCCCTATGCTATACAGCAACATTTAACCACTCATTCCATCTCTACCTTTCTAGGCGACACTCCCTCGAACACCGTACACACAAGACCTGTGACTTCAGTCTCAACAACCCACTAACTCGTCAAAAAAAAAAAGGTGCCTATATGGTAACATTGTCCTTACTGGCTCTAAAGACTAAACCGTCCACAATCGCCTCAACTGGTGCCCAATCCCATCACCTACCTGACAACACATAACAAACAACCCATACTCTCTAATCCACCCTCGGATCATACCTTATACCATTTTGCTCATCAATACTAAGACATCACGTCACAACACCTCTACTACCATCATCCTCGAATGACAACTCGAACTCCCATCCCATCGACTCAACAGGCTACCGCCAAGCGATCTCTCCACAAACATCCCTAAGATAACACCATCACAATAAAAGAGTATGTCTCACTCTCAATACTCCCTTCAGTAACCACTGCTTACGACTAAAAAAGGACCTCCATATGGCAATCCCATGCTGACAAATCCCAAAGGAAAAATGAGCACAAAAACCAAAATGCTCAACATCCAAATGTTTCCTTAAACCATTTATAAGACAATCAGTCATTAACACTTAATCGGCTACTTCGACCATTCTTCCTAAAACAATTTACATACTCAACCAAAGAAACATTATGCCCTACCGTCAACACCATCCCTTTCACTCTTTACCGTTCCTCAGAGCACCCTTGGCCCCGATAAAAGTCAAATGAGGCTACCAACTAAACCTACGAGATCACCCTCGTCCCAATCATTTGAATCATCAATCTATCTCTTTAGATCCTTAAACAACCAGTACTTCAATGACCCTATATTACCTGCCTTATCGCACAACCCTACACTACAAAGCTAAAATTGACCATAATACCTCACCTCGAGACTCTCTTGACAACTATGACAACCTATAACCCCGCTCATCCGCAGAGCCATACAATCAACTCACCGAGAGTCAATTACCCGTAACATGCTCATGTAGTTTCCCAGGATGGGAATCACCTCTCAACCAACCGTAACCAACACACTTCCTTAGACCGTACCAGAACACCCGCAGTACACATCTATGACCCAAAGACTACATTTGTGACTCAAACAACTTCTGTTACACCTACCACAACTGGTTCGAAAAGAACCTCTGTACCAAACTGTGACCCAAGTCACAAACACTAACCTCCTAAAGTCATACCTTTCTCCCTCAAAACCCTCACTCACACACCTGACCTCCATGGTCACAGGAACCCATCCACCGATGCATGAAACTCACACACAACAAAAACACCATGCCATGAAATATGAATCCATTCTAAAGTCGTGCCCTAAGCACCGCATAAAATGTAATAAGAAAATCAGGATAACTACATACTGAATAGCTCATCCACAAGCTAGAAGTCGATATCTGTCGTTCAATAAGAACCAGTACCTAATTACCTAGAGCAACCGAGCTCCTTACCTACTCAGGTCAAAACTTACATAACCATCTACACCGTGACAAATACTCTACTGTACTAGCAACCATCCCCTACTCGACCACATAAACACACATAAGTATATAGTAATATATTTCCATATACAAAATAAATGAAACCCAAAATACTATGTTCATTACTTGTCACATTATCATAAAAGAAAATTGCACCAACCGTGCCTACTGCTTGCCATCGTCATGTATCACATACTTTCCATCTTATCATATATAACATGCTTTAAATACTTTCACATTTTATTTACATGTTTGAATTATATATAATTATTCCACATACATGACCATGTAACACAATTTTTAGCATTTAAACACGTAAACATGTGAACACTTATCAAGAAAGCATGTCTTTCAAAATCGTAACACATAAGCAAGTAACAAGTAAACATGTTTCACAAAACAATTAACATTTTAACATATAATACTTCTAAATCAACTCAAGTCCCACTTAGGTCAACCCTACCCGTCATCCTTAGGTTTTTGAACCTAAGGCTCTGATACCAAATTTGTGACGACCCGAACCCAAGGGTCCGAATTGCTAATCGGGTTCTTACCCGAACCCGAGGTCAGCTAAGGGCACTATGGTAAGTTCTAAGGTCGATACATAATGTACGTGCTATCCTAAGACAAATGAAATCATAAATATAAAAGATGATAAAACAGTCCACTAACCCATTCAAACCTATCGAGGAACGTCGTCCACAACTTCTTTCACGTGACCTGAAAAATGTTAAAATGATGGGGTGAGTATAAAGTTCAGTAGAAAACGTCTAAGACATATATCTTACGACCCTGTGAATCCATACAATGAATAGGATACGAGAGAACGGGATCATATCTTGAGGAAAATAAGTAAAGTAACGATAATAATCAACAAATACATACGTAAGTCGTCTAACCACCAAATATACAATGTATGCCAATTCAATGATATGCCATGTAATGTCGCTCCCCATTTCCGAAACATTACCGTTTTAACTTTCAAACCGTTAGTGCGATCCGACACAAGGCACCTCTAAGGCGTCACGAAAGGAGGGTTGGCTAGCTTTCCCCAACCACATGGCACATCCATGGCGTCGTCTGGGCTTAAGTAGCTCAACCACGCTAGAGTCTCTCTCTAGCTCCCCTCTAGACCACACTAACACCACGGACCACTAGGCTCCTCCTAGACGTCTGGGTTTTCACAAACACTTTTCAAAAACCATTTTTCAAAATAATTTCATTTGTTTTTTTTTTTTTAAATAAACTTTTCCCTTTACTTTCCCAATGGCAATGCATGAATTATGCAATTTCTTCAATGCCATAACAATATAGAAATTTTATACATATCATCCACATCATTTAAGCATGTTTAAAACATGAATTTCCACACAATATTACATTCTCATATTTCTAAATCATGGCATTTTACATACTTTTAATTCGCAAATCCAACAATTAAATTCTATACATTCCATCAATGTCATATTCTAAACATTTATTTCTACAACTAATAATCTCAAATTTACATAGCAATTGGCAAGCATTTTTCATACAACTTGTTATTAATGAGCGTGCTTTTCATTACAACAAATTAATTAAGTTCATAGACTCAATTAACACACCACATCACTTATCATCATGAACATAACTAAATACAATCACCATGTTCAAAATAACTAAAATTAAGCATGCTTATAACCAACTTTAGAAAGGAAAATTCACAAAGAATCAAAGAAATTGTGAATTAGAATACCCCTATCTCCAAAGATGCAAAAACCCCCCAAATAGGTTCAAAATTTTGAAATCCCTAGAGTTGACCAAACAAGGAATTGTTCACACCTACGCGTAGATCTCGCCGTGCTTTCCGATTTGTCGCAAACGACACTAACAAACTCCCAACAGTTGAAGAAAAATCAAGCTTGTAAATGATGGTAAAAGAAAAGAAAAAAAGGAACTGAAAGGGGGGAAAGGAGAGAACGTAATTGAGAAGAGAGAAAATGAGAGTATGATATGTGAATTAAGTCATTTGTAATGACTTTGGTACAAGTGGGTCCCACTTCACACTCATAGCACACAACCACAAAATACATCCGACCAAAAACAAATAAGGCCACATGAAGAAAGCCAAACAAAAACCCATTTCGGCTGGCAGCACCACTAGCATACTATATATATATATATATATATAATAAAACTAAATCAAACCTAAATATCTCCGTGGGTCCCGCACTATACCAACTTAATCTTTCTTTCTCCTCCTCACTTCAGCTGGTGCATCTCCCATTTCTCTAATCTTATCACTTTATTCTTCTTATCTCTATGTTTTATCCATTTTAATAATCATTACTCACACCATAAAGCAAAGCCACTTGGGACCCGCAAATAAAAAACATTTCAATCTCTCTAACCTCTTTTCGGCTGCTACCCAAATTGTGCCATTAGATTACATACATATATATATATATATATATATATATATATATATATCATATATATATAATGTAACAATCCAAATTAACCAACTAAATATCTCTTTAGTGGGTAACTCTCCCATCATAATTAAATAATCATGACAATTAAAAATGATGAAATAAATTAAAATCCTAAAAATTAGGGTTGTCACATTATTAACTTATTATTAAAACTTTACTATTTATAATAAAACTTATTATACTTAGTTTAAACTCTTTTACTTGAAAAAAAATATTCTTTTTCATACAATATATAATATATGCATAAATAAATAATAAATTACTTAAATAAAAAAATAACTTCTTTTTTATGCAATATATTCATGAAAAAATAAGAAATTACTTTGATTATTTTAAAATTTTATACTTAAGATTTTTATTTAAATAGTTAATTTCAAAATTTAAAGGTAAATTTATGCAAATTTAATGAAGAATATGTCATCAAATTAATATGAATTTTTTTCATAATTTATTTCAATAAGAAAAAAAAGATTAACTGTAATTCAAATAGAAAGGGTATTATAGTCATTTAATAAAAAATAGTTAAGGCAGTGGGGCATTTTATAATTAAATGTGATAATTTAGAAGATATTATGCACAAAATACAGTTTAAGGAGGTTATTTACGATTCAAACATAGTTCAACAATGATGTTTTGGCCTTTACCCTTTAAATGATATTGTTAAAGGCCATGCAAGTTGACAAATATCATACCGAAAAAATTGACCAAAATCATTTGTTGAATTGATTAGAATTTTATTACCACCTAATTCTTGAAATATTATTAGAATTTCATCATTATAATTATTATTTTATTTTTTGCGACTCTCTCACTCTTACAGTCACTTCTTAAATTACTGACTCGGAATTATAGTTAATTAGTTTGTATTGTAAACAATAAAAATAGTATAGGACGTCTCTTCTATAATCTCTTTAATCAGAATTTGAATGGACGATTGTTAGGATTCCATGAAAACAAAATAAAATAGATAGGTAAGGTAATCATTTAGGGGCAAAAATCCTCTCCTGTTCCTATTCCCTCCTGTTCAGATGTGTGGCCCAGATTGGGCCACGTCAATTAAAAAAAATACTGTTGATTGTAGTAACAAATGTTTAACCACAGCAGGCCCCACATATATATATACGTTTGTATTATATTAACAAAATACTTTGACAATTATCTAAACAAATAAATTTACCAAAGGGTCCTTATGTTATCTCAGGAAAAGTCAAATATGCCCTTGTCATTTAAACTTCTAGAGAGAGTTTTAGAGAGAGAAAGGGAGAGGAAATGTTGAGAGTTAAAAGATTCTCTAGAATGCTTGGAGGCCACCTTCCAGGATCATCAAAGACGATTCTCTCTCCATCTACGGTATTATTGATCTTCCTCTATTTCCACATCTAATTTCTGTTCTGATACCTAATTAATCTCTTCATATAATAATTTTTTATTTTTTTTTTATTTTTTTATACATCTCCATAATCAGGGTTAGATCGTCGTCAAGTTCTCTGGAATGCTTGGAGGCCACCTTCCAAAATCATCAAAGATGATTCTCTCTCCATCTACAGTATTACATCTAATTCCTGTTCTGATACCCAATTAATCTCTTCATATAATAATTTTTTTATTTTTTTTATTTTATAGATCTCCATAATTCAAATCAGATTATGTGAAACGGATTTTTTTCACTGTTTAATTTTCAAAGAGAACTCATATTAATGGCGAAAATAATTATCAATGTAATATGAATTATGAGTCTTTTTATTTTATTTATTTATTTTGTAATTATCTAGTTTTAGTCGTAGAATTGCCAGCTAAGACACTTTGATTATTCTTTAATTCAGCTACTACTATGTGTTTAATTTTTTCACTTGGTTCCTAAATTTATGTGGATTTGCGGTTGTGGATGAAATTGAAAATCTTATTATTTGGAACCGAAGAAAAAGTTAATTCTCCACTCTACTTTACCTAATACAATCCTCTTGGTTGAGAGGAAATACACGTTTAATTTTCTTGATGGAACCCAAGAATACGACTTCAATATAATTTTTTTTTTTTTTTTTCCATTTCACAAACTTTCTTAGCTGCCAAACATAAACTTTATGCCAATTACTTAAAGTATACTTGAAGAAGACAACATATTAAGAAAGATGAAGACTTTGTCATGGTTTTCCTTAGACAATTATTTAGTATAGGGTGGGTGAATTTTTTTTTTGGTAAAGCAGTTGAAAGTTTATTAATGAAAGAAGCTTAGATTATTGCAAGAATTTTGGGCGGGGAATGTTTCAAGCATGAATTTAGGAGATGGTTGAAATTGAGATTTTAAAATGCGGCAGCAATTACTGCCATTCGAGAATTCTGAAGAATAAGTTATGAAGTGATCATTTGATCATCTTTCTTCCCGGTGAGATTGCTCCAAAATTGATTCTCCTAGCATGTTTGTTTAAAGAAATGGAATTCTATATATGTTGTTGTTTTCTAAGTACTCGTTTGTCAGGCTAATATTTCAGTTCACCACCTGTTTGATACTTTGCCTCAGTATACAAAATCCTCCTCTATTTCCATAATTAATGATGACTGAAATTGAGGCATCAAAAAAATAAGCACAAAAGTCTTGCATTTGGGTTTCTGAAGTTTTGCCAACTATGGCCAAACTATTTCTTGCATTTTTCCTATGGGTTGTGATATTCTATGGTTTCATCCCTCCATTGACATTTTGTTGTGTTTGATGCAGGAAACGCCTCTTCAATATCATAAAACGATCTTCTAACAATTTTTGAAGTTAGGATAGGGGCAACAAAGAAACGAGCAAAGACATCAGTTTCAAGTCACAATGGAAATAAATCTAAATCTAGCTCCAAGGTAGAAAAACGATCACTCTTCGAATTTCTTTATTTCTATCACATAAATTGAAATCATAGGTTAGTAGTGCTGGTTTGTTGTTTATGTTGCTTAAATAGAGAAACTAGTCTAATGTTCATAATGATAGAAAGTGCCTTGAGAATACTATTCCAACAATAATTTTAGCCAGTCGATTAGAAACTCGTGATTTTCACTTATGGTAAGGATGAGTGTTCGAATAGATTTTTAGGTTCTTGGAAATCATGGCACATGGTAGGCATATATAGCCTTTTTTGAAAAGAACCTTAATTTTCATTCTGGGGTTAAATTTATCCATGTTTAGCCCTTATTCGGTTGTAGTTGCTCTCTAGGTCTTGTTCCTTAATTTAATAATTAAAAATTCAATATTGTAACATTCAACATTTGCAATCATATCATCATTTGATCATTTGGTTCAGTGGTTTGCAGTAAAATATGACGACTGCAACTCAGCCCTTTAATGGCAATTTAAAGGCTAAACTTCTCTTGTTTCTTTCAGATTATATTTTTATCTTTCTTTTTCAATCTTATATTTAGTTAGCAACTTCATTTGGTTACTGAGAAACCAGTAGAAAGATTACAAAAAGGAAATCTAAATTTCTTTCAATTCCTAATTCTTTGGTTTTCCAGTGAAAGGAAAAATAAATTAGCAAGTTAGTACTGTTGTTTCATTTCTTTAGGTAAGCTTTCGCAGCCGTCAAGGAAGGATAAAAGTGTTATCATTCAATTACTCATGGAATTAATTTCATTAGAAAAATATGTACTGAATGACTTGTTTGACTATATGTTATAAACCAATTAAGATTGTATTTATATTTCCAACTTCCTTCTATTTTTATTATTTATTTTTTTATGTACTGGTTGCATTGCATTAGTTATGTTCAATGAATTGATTTTAAGTTTGAGAGCTAATTCACATAAAATTTAATGTATATATATCCTACAGGCACTGCTAGTATCGAATGTATATATATTGTTTCAGTTATTCAATCATTTCTTTTTTAACCGTTTAGAAAAAGACTAATTTATGCACCAAAATTTTTTACTTTAGTTTGGATAACAAATTTGTCACTTTCTTGGCTTAAGGTTTTGTTATTTGATTTATAATAAGATTGATGGTGGCATTATTATTATTATTATTATTACTATTACTATCATTATTTTAACTTATTCGGTAAATGTTATATCAGTGGCTTCATATATATAGAATTGGAGAGTATATATATGTTATCCACACAGGTAAACAAGTTCCTTATTTAATATATATTTTTTAAAGATAATTCTTTTGCAAAAAACTAAGTCTATCAAAAAAACATCCAAAGAAATAGTTTCCTTCCTCTCTTTTTTCAATTTTAAAATTAAGTGTTCATTCTTGTTTGCATTTTTATGCAAATTTTTATCAGTTAATTGCTGAATGTAATATTAACTCTGTATTAGTTACCATTTATTTTCTTTTTTCACTTTTTTTTAATTCTAAAATTAATGTGTTCATTCTTGTACGCATTCTTATGAAGCAACAAAATTAGTTAATTGGTGACCGTAATATTAACTTCATGTTTCTTTCATGCCACCTTTGATTTCTATTGCGTGCATTAACTTGTATTTCATATTTTGATTTCTTTTGCATGTGTTTAATTTCTTAGGTTTACATATCATTTTTTTTTTTTTTTTTTTTTATGTTAGTGTTTGATTCCATCTATGATGATTTTTGTTATATATCTCTCATACCATATT